AATAAAAATACTTTGAATTGCAATTTTGTAACCTATAGTATCATATTATATTATACTAATTTACTAATATTATAAATGTGAAAGTTTAGACGGATGGATGGATGGATGGATATTTATTAGAGTTTGTAGTCTAAACAGCTGAACGGATTCCGATGAAATATGGCATAGATGTAGAGGATAATCTCGAAGAATACATAGACTACTTGGATTTGTTTTTTTTCAATTCCACGCGGACGGAGTCGCGGGCGAAAGCTAGTATTATAAACGCATAAACGAAATCTTCACATTAAACTCTTAAAGCAAACGTTACTAATTCAAATCAACAAACTAAACCGCACACGACCTAAAATTCGGTTTAATATTAGCAACATTAATTTCCCAACATTCGTCAACGCGTCTTCAACTAACAATCAAACCGAGCCGTTGACAAACAGCGCCCCTCATAAACGCGCCAAAACTGACAGATGTCAGCGCCGTCAGTTTTCCCGCCAATTTCGCGCTTTGTCGACAGACGCTGTCAAAGCACGCTTGCGGATTTTCCTAATTTAGAAGACACCTTAAGGCGGAAATACACATATCAATAAAATGGACTAGTAGCTGGAATGCCAGCTACTGGCTCGTTTACACATGCAAGTAAAGTCATCGAAATCTTACGAAAATAGATGTCAAGCTTCATACAAACTTGCACGTAGCTGTTACTAAAACGTATCTATCTACTGGCATGTAAGATAGCGTATACACTTGCCAGTATGATGCACGCAAATGTGCCTGTTACTGGAATGTGTATTCCCCGCCTTGTTTTGAATTATTAATCTACTTTTGGGAAGACGGATCTTTAAATATTTACTTACTGTCAAGACATGAGATTATTTTAGTTTCTTTCAATAGAAGGATATTGTCGTAAGTGACAGCAATTAACAATATTAATTCGTTCTTTTTTTGAATTCTACATCTGTTATTAGTACGCATCTTCACCACTGCTACCAACTGCGACCATCAGCACCAAAATGGCGGCAATCAAACACGCACAAAGTACTACAGCTTATAGCCTATCATCATCATCCACTTGCCCTTATCCCTTATGGAGGGTCGGCACAGTATGTGCTGCTCTTCCATACATCTCTGTCAGCCGTCATATCTGAATACACTCTTTACTTACGCATATCTTCTTTCACACAATCCATCCATACTTTCTTCGGTCTTCCTCTTCCTTTGTAGCCATCCACACTCAATCTCAACACTTTCTGGTGTATGTCCCCATCATTTCGTCGCATAATATGTCCATACCACACTAACCTTTTGCTTCTCAATTTCTCTACCACTGGCGCTACTTTCAAACTTCCTCTAATGTACACATTCTTAACTTATAGCCTATCCATGTAAAGAATAGTGATAGCATATTAGCGTCTGTGTTCGATAAAAGAGATCAGAGAAGATGGCCAATTGTGTCAATTAATGAACCTACAAATAAAAATTCGATTATAGTTCTTATAAGCGTTTGTTATTACAATAACGTTTTATAACCTATGAATAAGAAAACAGCGCTTTTATTAATTTATCAATAAGTAAAAAGAGAAAAACTTGGAATAATAAATGTTGGCCTATTTCACTTTGTCCCTTGTTACATTCTTAATAAGAGAAAACTTGTCTAAACTTGACACATGTTCTCTCGTTATGACACTTTAGTGTTCACCCGTGACATCTGACAAGTTGACAAAATGGCCGCAGTTTTTTTTTTCTTACAAAGAAAGTCAACATCTTTTCACACTGACATTTATTAAGACTTGATATTACTTTTATTTTATACGGAATTTTAGTTGTAAATTAAATATTAACTATTTAATTTGTTTGAAGTATATTAACTACTAATATTATAAAAAAAAATATAAAGGCGAAAGTTTAGATGGATGGATGTTAACACTTATCTCTAAAACAGGTAATCAGAATTTGCTGAAATTCGTCATAGATGTCATACTAATATTATAAATGCGAAAGTTTAGATGGATGTTTGTTAGAGTTTGTAGCCTAAACGGCTGAATAGATTTCGATAAAATTTGGTATAGATGTAAAGGAATCTGGAAGAACACATAGACTATTCTTTTTTGTTTTTTTTTTAATTACGCCCGGACGGAATCGCGGGCGAAAGCTAGTAGAACATAATCAGAAAGAACATACACTACAAATTATAATTTTTAATTCAGCGCAGGCGAAGTCACTGGTGACAGATTTTTTTTATATTTTGAAACTTTAAACGGTAAATGTAAATAAAAATTAAAACAGTCTAAAACAAACACATGATAGCAATATAAATCTAGTTAAAATATTGAAGAATAATTTTAAAAAAAACTCTGAGGTTCCACAATTATTTTCCACATGTGAACAATAATAAAAACTCACTGCGGCGTAAATCACAAGTTATTGCCTCAGACTAGATCCAGTCTTGATCGCGTCAGCAATGTGATATCCATGCTTTTTTATTTCACTTGAATTACAGAATTAAGTTGAATGTTTTTAAGACCGCGTACACCTTTGACTAAACTATCGCACAACTGTTCAGTCTCGCTTTGAATCCTATCAGCTTAGGAGGTGCGCTGTTCGATTTTAGTCAAGCAACTAAACAATTGAAGACTCCGAAACAATCGACAATCGCACATTTGTGCAATAGTTTAGTACATTATATAAATACACTGACGAAAACAAGTGTATAAGAAGAGATTTCTTTTAAAAAATGCGTAAAAATATTTTTTACTATCTTACTTCTTAGTTTCATAAATGGAAAAGTTTGTATGGATGTTTTTACCTCCAAAACAGCTGTATGTATTTGGATGTGGTATAGATGTAGAATATAGTTCTGCGAGATTTTGTTACAAATAAGGTATTAAGTATTTTTTTAATTCTACGCGGACGGAGTCGCAGGCGACAGCTAGTAATAAATATGTGGATTTCTTTTGACAGTATTATCACACACGATTTCATACTGTATGTATATTGTGATAATGGTGTTTTTAGCTTGTATAAGATTTGTTAGAAACTGACTTTTTATAGAAGTTAAATTTAAAATTGAACCAGTGTAAGATGTCTGGCTACCAGCCAATTTCACCTGCACCTTATTGTTTGACTAACGAGACTTTGGCCTTACTTGAGTTTTCTTTTTGTGGTAAAAGATGGCGCAGTTCGCCATGTAACTTTTTTTTCATTCCATGTTTAAATAAAATAGTATCTTTGATTGTAACTTATTACTTGTACAATTTGGAATGCCCAGTTTAAAGAATAAAATGAGATTGTAAATAAAAAAACGAACTGATTTAAAAAAAAAAAACATGTTTTCTTTACCCCTCAATTATCCAATTTTTAATATTACTAATACTATAAATGCGAAAGTTCAGATGGATGGATGTTTGTTAGAGTTTGTAGCCTAAATGGCTGAACGGATCTGGATGAAATGTAGCGTAGATTTAGAACATAGTCTGGAAGAACACTTATTTTATTTTTCTTTTAATTCACTCGGACGGAGTCACGGGTAAAAGCTATTAGACTATAAATAATAGAGAAAGGTCAAATAAGTAGTCATCTATCAGTTTACGACCAAAAATTTTAAAAATTTTATTTTCTATAAAAGGCAAAATATGTTTCGCAAGTGTATGAAAAGAGGAAATATTAAATTCCAAGTATTAAGTACGTTAAATCAGCTAATTTTGTTAAGTATGAGATACCAATAAGCGTGATTGGTGATTGTTTCAAGGTACACTCGGTAACAACGGTGTTGTGGAATAATATACATGGTCGGATCACTTTAAATACTATATTATATCATTGGAAATTGTGTAATTACACTGAAGTGTAAATTTTTTATCAGTTCCATTTAACTCTATACATTTGTAGTTTATTTTTATAACATAAGGTGGCAAATGAGAAAGCGCCCACCTAAATCCGAAGCAACCGCTGCCCATAGACATCCGCATTTGCAGATGCGTTGCCTACCCTTATACGACGAAGGAGGAGACGCACATAAAGAGGATATATCCCCTTCTTATGCATCTCCTCCACCGTCAAATCAAATTCCCCTTCCCATCCTCTCCTTATAAAAAAGGGTGGTAAAGAGAAAGGGACTTAAATTAGACCTCCGGCACCACACTCATCAGACGAAACACGGAATTGCTTCCACTTCACGCCTGTCTTCTGTGTGGTCGTGGTATTACACCGGGTGTGACCTGCAGTGCTAAGATGTTAAAGCGGACACTACCACTGTTGGTTCAATCAACATTTTGATGGTCGCTACATAAAATAACAAATGGCAAAAGCTTAAATAAAATTGTTGAAACATCATCTTTAATTGCCCAATTATTTGTAAAACACTGTCGTACGCGACAGTACTTCGAATGAGGCAAATAATGACAGGAGTTTTAAAGTTCGTTAGTACAGTCGTGTTTATATAAAAATATCGAATGCTTCAATAATTGGACGTCGGAACGAGGGCTTTTATTGTATATTCTTTTATCTCATTATCATGTTTTTCATTTCTGTCTACCTTCTTACCAATTAGCGTCCTCATTAATCTGCATTTAATTTTTGAAATTAATTTCATATTTTCAATACATTTCATATTGTTAAAGGAAATTTAATCTTTATCCTGATTCAAATAAGGTTCAAAATTAAATAACATGACATAGTGAATATAATCATACTAATATTATAAATGGATGGATGGATGTTTTTTAGATATGTCCAAAACTAATCTAATGAAATTTACAAACACAGATTGTTAAAGTCCAAAAGAAAATGTAGGCTACTGTCATTTTGAATTTAGCGCAAATGAAGTCACGGGCAACAGCAAGTTCATGACAAAAAGACCAAAACAGCTGTAAAAATCACATGGTTAAATTGAAAATTTTAAATGCAGCAACTAAAAGCAGTAGATAATTTGTATTTGACAACCCTAGATCCAAACTTATTTTTTAGGGTTGTTCCTCTGTTTACAATCTCTTCATTTTTGTTTGCAGTAAAACCACAGTCGGTAGAAGTTCGGACTGGCGACGGGCAGGTACTGGCAGATGGCGCTGTCCTCGGGCCACTGCTGGAACGCACCAGGGTCAACGTATCCTGTCTGGTGCGGGAAGGGAAACCACAGCCAAAGGTCGCTTGGTACTTCAACGGGAAAGAAATGCTAGATGGTGAGTCAAACTTAATAATTTACTGTCTTCTAATCTCTGATCGTAACAAAAGTTATGGGTCTTATTAAAATCCGTATCGAGCATTGATGCGATTTTGCGAGATGCGTGTGCGATAAATTTTATTGATTTCCAACATCAAATCTACACTAATCATCAAATCATTGGACTCTGAGTATCGCTGTTAACGTATATTAACAATTCCTAAGTTAAGTTTAATCTCCATAAATATGCTTAACATTACTGAAACGTATTTAATATGGGCTGTAAAGATATAATAGCCTCCGGAGGCGCCTTCAGTTAGATTCATGGCGCATTATTCCACGTTCAATTAAGAACGCGTTGAATTATCCCGTAAATCGTGGTTACCATACGATGCCTTGTTTATGAGAATTAAAATTTCCTTTAAAAGCCTGTATAAGTATCTTTTACGACGAAAAGATAATTTTAAAATAGAAGCCAAGTAAAATGTCTCACGAATTAATCAGTCTTGGCATTATTAAGATGTCTATGAAGATTGGACAAAAGACTTAATAATTCTTCTTTGTAAATTCAGAATTAGATCGTTAAAACGATAGTTAAAACTATTGTGAAAGGTTTTAGTCAAGGGAAATATCCGAACACACACAAACAGCAAAATATTATAAGTATTATTATAAAGATAAAAGATTTTATTTTTGTACTATCTAATTTCAGCGACTCCGTCAGCATGTAATTAAAAAAAAAACAAAAGTAAGCAGCCTATGTTCTTACAGACTATCCTCTGTGAAAAATTTCATCGAGATCCTTTCAGCTAAACTTCAAACTCTAACAAAAATCCATCTAAACTGTGTAGCATTTATAATGTTAGTAAGATGTAACATATACACTCAAAAATTACTTGACTGATTTCAAAAATTCTTTCACCATTAAAAAGCTATGTTATTATTAAGTGACATAGGCTATTTTTTAACTATTTTTAATTCCACGCGGACGAAGTCACGAGCAACGAGTATACTATAAAAGTTGTTCGTAAAACAAACATAGTAATTGTAACAAACTACCACATCCAATAAAGGTCTAATATTTTTTAATTAATTGTCATATTTTAATATAACACGACCGAAGCTTATCATATCCGCACAGCACTAATAATTTTCCAATGGATTGCACTAAAATTTCAATTAATGACCAACGGTAGCGTTATTGATTGCTCGCTCAGATTGCACCGAATGTATTTATTGTGTCGATTACGCGGTAATGTATACGTTGTGTAACTAAACAATCGCTAAATTAATGTAATACGAGGCAACGATGAAACTTTATACACTATTGCAAAGACTTTTAAATGATATATAGAGGAGGCATAGTGAACATTTTCTACTTTTTCTTTGTCTGAATGGTACGCTATCAGTAATAAAATTTAGTACTAGTGGATATGTGAAAAGTGTTTCAAGTGAAGTGTCAACTATGCCTCCTCTATATAATTGAATGTCTATGTTATTCACAGATAAGTTACCTTTCTAAGGTGAAAGAATTTTTAAAATTGACCAGTAGTTTTTGAGTCAAATCAATGCATATAAAAATACAAATCTTTCCTCTTTATAGTATTAGTATTGATGTCTTTGATTGTAAATTAACCTTTATGTATGTACTAAAATATGTAAGTAATGGCTTATGCCGACGCTCCTGAGGGAGCCCTCGAGCTTAGTTGCTCATAAACGAGGTTTAGGCTAAGCGCCTTGCGCTCGACCATCTCAAGCTTGGTGAATCTGTAAATGCCTCTTCAAGGCAAACAGTGGCCATTCAATCACAAAAATTATGTACCCTAGATCAATTACTACTTGGACGATCTAACGATTTTATTATCCCGGTTATCTGTTTGTAAATTGTCTTAATTTTAGTTGATATTAAATTTAATTAGAGCGAATGAATCGGTACCATCTCCTAGTTTATTAACCGCAAATCCACTGCGCTAATTCCAACCGTACATGAATACATTCGTATACGATTTGTAATTTATCGTTGGGCAGCATAAATGGAATATCGGATGGTACTGGTAATTCTAAACTATCGTTTAAACGTATATTTGAGAGCTCGCTTGTTTAATTTGGATTATCGAGATTTTGCTCAGATTCGAATCGTACTAATTGATTGCGTTTACATATTAATTAATCTATAGTCAGTGTTGTTTATGTTACGTTAATCAATTTTCAAACAGTGGATTTCCTATTGAAACAGTACAGTCACCTACATAAATGTATACAAATTTACGAAGATTCGGAAACTTGTATGAAAAATCTATTTCAAAAATGCATAGACTTATTCGAAGCTATGCGTCAGACCTTGAATGTATGTTTTTAAATAATATTTAAAGAAATGTTTTCTAAATAAAATGTTGATAATATTGAATGCAGTCATATGCCAACTGTCATAAAGTATTTCTCTAATCTATGACTTTGTTCTGTCTTGACCTTGCCAATACTGTACCGTGTCTGTTCTCTGTTCTTATTAAATGATTTAATTCAAGTCAAATATTTTTTACGCCCTCACCAAACAAAATTGTATAGAAGTTTTGTAAATGTACATATATTTACGCAGCTAAATGTACTATCTGTAACTATCAGTCGTCAAATCTGAATTCACTTTAAGAGGAGAAGACTCTCTTTTTAACATACTTGATTTTTAGTTGTGCAACTAAACAGTTGAATTGGCTGCGAAACAATCGACAATCGCACAACAGACATATCTAAATATATTTTTCATATTTCTATTTCACAGATATTTGTCAATACTTAAGTCCATGCTCAATGTTGATAACACTATTAGTCAATTAAAATAAAACCTTATGACACTAAACATAAGAGAGCAAATCAAATGATGTCACTAGTCCAAATCGGCAAACAAAACCCAAACTTCACGTAGTCATAAAATCTGAACAATAAAGAAAATCCTATGCAAGTTTCATAAGAAAATCTCAGTTTCAACGAAAGGCTCAAGTTAAGTTTAAACCTCGCTTTAGTATTCAAAGGGGGTAGAGGCACGGTTCACACTAAAATGTTTATATTTGGGTCAGGAGTTCGAAACGCGTTTTATTGTTTTAACGCCCCATCGGCATACAAAAACATTGCAACGGTTGTACAATTTTATTTATAAATTTCGATTTGAAAACGATCAGATTTTGTTTTACGTTTTTCTAACTTAAAATATACCCATAAATAATTTGTTGTATTACTAAAAATACAACAAAAGGGGAACAGTGTATTACTAAACTGAAATATTATTTCACTTCAATGCTAATTTAAATAGATTTTAAAAACCATAAGATGACTTGGCGTCCTATGACAAAAAGAATACCTTAGTCCTCATTCACACGAGCGTTTTTTTAACGCTTGACGTTGGAGTTTTTTAAGTTATGTCTGACAAAACCACTTTAAAATCACACTTGTTTCGTTCGCTCAAAAGGAAACATTGTGCGATATAAAGTTCGCGTTTTAATAACGTTGCCGTATTATCAAATTCATGGAAATGAAATTATATTCCAACGTTTTTTTAACGCGTGTTTAAAAAAACGGTAGTGTGAATGGGTTTTAGCAATAAAATGTTACACTAAAGTGCTTAAATAACTATAAAATGAATCTAAGCGTGGTCGCAGATTATGGGTTTTAAACAGAAACCGATTATTCCATAGCTCGCATTAGCTGTTTACTATATTGAAATCTGCCGTATTAGAGGGAATTATCTATCAATTATTATGAACTGAGAATTAGTCGGGTTGTGTTCGGAATACGGACATTACAGTCCCGAAAACCCACCTTAAATGCGATATTCAATAGAATAGAATCGTGTGGTAATTTTCTATGATTTCAAACGACGATTTTGTGAAAATAATTTAGTTTGTAATGGTTTAGAATTATTTAATAATTATAATTTAGTGTACAATTCTCTTACTAAATTCACATTTAATTCCCGTAGCAATAATTATGCTCTTGGGAAAAAGATATATCAATCTTAAGAATCGACCATACCTTCTCCATAAAGCAAACTTATCTATAGTTCCTCTGATATAGTGGAATTCCATGGATATCATGTACCCGCAGTTCTTTTACACCCTTATTAAAAAAAAAAAAAAAACACAAAAAGTTTCTACAAAATAACTATAAAAGTCTACTTTGCTTTAACATAGTTTGTAAAATACATTTAACATTATTTTGTAGATCGCTTTAACGTCTTCTCATGGAGGAAATTCTGTTCTTCCGTTCAGTAACAAAGTCCATGACTTGACTTGAAATTCCCGCTAACACGAACAATGAACAACCTTAAAGAATTGTGAAATTCTATTTAAAAGTAAAGTAAGTGTTTAACTATGCAGGAATTGATAAATGAATTTAACTGGCCCTTGAAGCTACTCCTTTTCTTAGTGAGCTCTTTAAGTCCATCTAGAGACATTCTGGGAAACCAGCGTTAATCTCCTAGAACGTACAAATAAAATATTAATGATAGTTCAAGGAATGCTTCTTAATATTATAAGCGATGATTATTCCTTATAATGGTTAATCCGTATACTCCAAAATAGGCATCCAAAAATAGTTATCCAAAATCATTATCCTGCTCGAAGGACCATGTTTAAATGAAATGCAGGAATTATAAAATTTAATACTTGATAACCATTTTAAATAGAAAAGCAATAATGACAATGACATTAGTTCTTCTTTTAAAAAAATATTCTTTTTAATCATAAACAGTAAGTAAATAATTATCTACTTAAGTTGTGGTAATTTAAACTTTTAAACTAATACGTAAAGAAAAATGTGATGCCTTGTTTAATAGGCAAAGTTAAGTATGTGTGTTTGTTACTAATAAACTCAAAAACTACTAGACCGATTCCGATTTTTTTTACACCATTAGATAGCTTTAATATCCCTTAGTGATAAACGATATATTAAACTAACTTTTGCTCGCGACTTCGCCCGCGTGAAATAAAAAAAATGCCTATTTTACTTAGAGATAAATTACCTTTCTAA